TGCTCAGGGGTCATTCTGGCAATGCCCAGTAGACCAATGCAGTGTTGGAGACAGTTGTGTTGTTCAAAGCAAGGGCTTTAGCCTCGGTATTAACTCTACACCCTGATCCAGGCTTCTTTTGTATTTCTTCTGTATCAGGTCTAGAATCAGTAGTCCTCCAAAGAGTGCCTTGGTTACTTTTGTTGGAGAATGAGTTTTAGAAATCATTAGAAATACAAAGAGCTGTACTTCTTGGAGACTGGCTTCTTTCTACATGTCTAATGTTTTTGAGATTCATTCATATTGTAACATTTATCAGTCCTTTGCTCCCCTTCTTTGCTAAATAATATGACAATGTGTGGATAGATATATCACATTTTGTTTGTTCATTGCTCAGATAATTGGCTTTTTATATTTCTGTATTTTGGCTCTTACACTTCTCTGGATGTTTGAGTACAGCTTTGGTGTATATAATATTTTCAGTTCTCTTGGACATGTACCTAGTCATGAGCTTGCTAGGTTAACTTGGGAACTGTTAGACATGTAGTTCTCAAAGTGGCAGTGTCATTTTGTTCTCCAACTAGCAGTGTTTAAAGTGTCAAACTTTTCGGACATACACACTTTTAATTTTGTTCTTTAAAAAATTGGAGGTGGGGGGGCAGAGAGATAATAAAGTTGTTCAAAGTGCTCACCTTGCGCGTTGCTCACCTGAGTTTGATCCTTGGCACCATAAAGGGTCCCCTGGGTAACCACAGGATGATACCTGAGCACAGAGCCAGGAGTAAGCCCTGTGCACTACTCCCATGTGACCTGTCTCCCCAACTTTTCTGTGTTTTTCTTTTGTTCATTTACTTTTGAGTTCTCTCAAGTGGTGTGGAGTACTTTGGGCTTCCTGGCTGCATAGTTGAAATTGTGTGGCCCTAGGGGTTGAACCCGTCCGAGTTAGCTGCATACAAGGCATGTGGCTTCCTTAATATTCCCGTACCATCTCCTCTTTGACCCTTTACTTTTTTTTCCTAAATCACTAACTCAGACCTGCTATTTATGCTATCATGTTTTTTCCATTTCTTTCATTGTATTTTCCGTGCCATTGTATTTGCAGTTCTTTAAACATGTTTTAACATCATTGATTTAAAAAACTCATGTAGGGGCTGGAAAGATAATAAGAGACTTGCTTTGCACACAGCCAACCTGGCTGGAGCGATAGCGCAGCAGGTAGGGCGTTCGCCTTACACGCGGCCAACATGGCCGACCCGAGTTCGATTCCTCCGCCCCTCTCGGAGAGCCCCGCAAGACCGAGAGTATTCGATATGCCAGATACAGTAACAACAAAGTCTCCAATGGAGACGTTACTGGGCCCGTTCGAGCAAATCGACCATCAACGGGAGGGCCTTTACCTTTAACCTGGCTTAGATTCCCAGTACCACGTATGTTCCCCTGAGCCCTACCAGGAGTGATCCCTGAGCACAGAGTCAGAAGTAAGCTCTGAACACAGCTGGATGTGACCCAAAAAGCAAAACAAAATTTTATCTGGGCCTCCAGGTTTTTATTACTCCCAACTGGCTTCCCCCAATATGGGCCACAATTTTTTTTTAATATGTTAAATGATTTTTTGAAAACAGGTACCCTTTTTTTTTTTTTTTTTTTTTTTTTTTGCTTTTTGGGTCACACCCGGCGATGCACAAGGGTTACTCCTGGCTCTTTACTCAGGAATTACTCCTGGCGGTGCTCGGGGGACCATATGGGATGCTGGGAATCGAACCCAGGTCGGCCGCTTGCAAGGCAAAAGCCCTACCCGCTATGCTGTCACTCCAGCCCAAAAATAGGTACCTTTAAAGAATATAGTGTGGCAATAGGATATTTAAAATTTTTTTTTGTTCAGTTACTGTGAGTTACAAAGTTACCAAGCTATTCATGAATGAGTTTCAGGCCTACAATGTTTCCTTCAACAGTGTCCACTTCCTTCCACCAGTGTCCCCAGTTTCTCTCCTGCCCCCTCAGCCCAGCCTGCCCTGCATGCAGTAGACACTTCTTTATACCTTCTTTCAGTGATCCGTGCTCCTCCAGAGTGACCGCTCCTCCCCACCAGTGTTGTGTCCACTGCCCTCTTTGGGCATTCCTTATTCCCCTATTGCTTTTCTCAGCGTAGGAGAGACCATGCTGTGTGGATCCCTCTCCCTCTGACTGATTTCACTCGGCTCGATACTTTCCAGATGTGGCAGCAGTTGTATGACTTCATCTTTCCCTGTGGCCCAGTTGTTGTATTCCATTGTTATGTGGACCATAGTTTCTTTATCCAGTCATCTCTTGGACACAGCAGGATATTTTTGTTGCTCCTTGTGATTGTGTCCTTGCTTACTGATATTCATGACCTGATTCTGTAATGTCTATACATATTATTTGTTTCTTATGTCATGTCTTATACGCGTTACATATGAAGTCTCTACTTGGCTGACATAGCAGTTGGTTAGATCTTCTTGGTTTCCTTAAGCTAGTAACTTGCATGGGTATAAAAACTTTGGTTATGAGTACAAGCCATATTTTTTTATATGGCTGCAAGAAGTTTGTGTGCCTATTAGGGCATGCCTTTAATACTCCCCTCTTGTGCTCATCTACAAGTTTATCCAGAGCTATTAGCTTTGGGCCTCCCAAATGTGCCTCAGATTTCTTTTAGAAGGCATATGTATAGTCTGATGTTTATTTTTTGTAAAAAATTTTTACTTATTTTTAATTTTTTATAATTTGTCCTTTTAGATTCTTAAGAATTGCTAGAGTCCTTGGGGGCATCTTATTTCCCAACCTTACATACTTTGGGGGGGGGGGCACGGCAGTTTGGGCCACACCCAGCAGTGATCATGGGTTACTCCTGACTCTGTGCTCAGGGATCACTCCTGATGGGTGTGGGAGACCATATGGGTTGTTGGGGATTGAACTTGGATCAGCCATGTTGCAAGGTAAATGTATATCCTCTGTAATATTGCTTTGGTCCCCTTATTATTATTATTTTTTTAATCTGTTGCTTGACCTAATTAACAGATTTGAAGGGATACAGTTGCCTATTGCAGTTTCCATTAATCCCTTTGGAAAATTATTTTTATATTGACAGAGTCTGAATCAGGTCAAATTTTGACATTGTTGCAAATTAGTGTCTCTCAGGTATAGGTTTTTTTTGGAGGGGGGTCACACCTGGCGATGCACAGGGCTGACTCATAGCTCTGCACTCAGGAATTACCCCTGGTGGTGCTCAGGGTTCCATGTGGGATGCTGGGAATCCAACCCGGATTGGCTGCGTGCAAGGCAAACACCCTATGAGTTGTGCTATTGCTCCAGCCCCTCAGGCATAGGTTCTTCAAGAGTTGGTCATGACCCCATAAGGAGTCATACAACTGTAGGTGTGAAAATTTTATTTAAATTTTTGTTATTTATTACTGAATGTTTGATTATATATTCCTGGGGCTGTGCAAGAAAATTCTTTGAAGCCCTTAACTTTTTTTTTTTTTCTTTTTGGGTCACACCCGGCGATGCACAGGGGTTACTCCTGGCTCTGCACTCAGGAGTCACTCCTGGCAGTGCTCAGGGGACCATATGGGATGCTGGGAATCGAACCTGGGTCAGCTGCGTGCAAGGCAAACGCCCTACCCGCTGTGCTATCTCTCCAGCCCCAAAGCCCTTAACTTTTTAAGCTGTCACTGTCGCTGTCACTGTCCTCCCGTTTTTCATCGATTTGCTCGAGCGGGCCCAGTAATGTCTCCAGTCTGAGACTTGTTGTTACTGTGTTTGGCATATCGAATACGTAATGGGGAGCTTACTGGGCTCCCCAGGAGGGGTGGAGGAATCGAACCTGGGTCGGCCAAGTCGGCTGGGTGGGCCACGTGCAAGGCAAATGCCCTGGGCCCACTGTGCTATCACTCCTAAAATCAAATAATGACAATTCCTTGAATGCTCGCTTTGAATAAGTTCCAATCCGTTCTGTAGCTGCTGTTCTTCATATGAGCTGTTCTGTTTTTGTTTTTGCAGGGGCCACTCCGGGTGGGGGCCATGCTGTGCTGGGGATTGACCTCAGAGTTGTTATTTAGTTTTTATTTTCCTTTCCCTTTGCTCTTGGTTGCAGTACATCTGAGCTGTTACTGATAAGGCTATCTTGACTGCCGAGCAGGGCATGAGCTATGACTAGTTAAAAAAACACCGTGATGTTCACTGTTCTGACTAATGGTCAGCTTTCTTATTTTCTAGAATTTTGAAGTGGTTGGTTCTTAGAATTTCGGCCAGTTTCCTGATTGGTTTTATTGAAGAAAGAATGTTTGAGGGTCCTGATTATGATTCCTGTCACTTCCTGATTCCTGTTTATTGGTGCTGATTCTGATAGATAAACCTTTTCTGAATTTCTTTTTGTTTTATTTTGCTCTGTTTGTTTGTTCTTGAACGTAACACCTGGTGATGCTCAAGGGGTTACTCCTGGCTCTGCACTCAGGGATTACTCCTGGCAGTGCTTGGGGACCATATGGGATGCTGGAGATGGAACCTTGGTTGGCCTCATGCAGGGCAAGCGCTTTACCTGCTGTGTTACTGCTCCAGTCCCTGGATTTATTTGTATTGAAATATAGGAGACTGTTAAGGACTCTAACTTTACTGGTATTTATAAGAGCACAGGAGAGGAAAACAACCCAGATATCCCTTGTATTTTGGGTGGGCCCTCATGAGTAGTGCGAGGGAGACCTAGGAGCCACAGAGAGATGCTCAGTATATGTCCAGCGAGGTAGTGCTGTGAGGGCCTGCTGTGCTGGGGGCCTCTGGGACCACATCCATCTGTGCTCAAGGCCTTTTTAGGTATATACCCATCAAACCAAGGCCAAGTGCCCTAGCTCTCCCCCCCGCCCTCCCCCGATACTGCTCCCCTGCTGTATATGAGCTATTTCATTCCAGTAGTCTGTTCTATAGAAGGGCGTTTGTTTCGCTGGGACGTGATTAGATAGATGAAGTACTTACAATCTTACTTATTGGCATTCTTTTTCCCTTTCCAGGCACATATTAAATTTCCTATTGACTACCCATATTCACCACCTACCTTCAGATTCTTGACCAAAATGTGGCACCCCAACATTTATGAGGTAAGACATGTCTATCAAATTTCTCTGAAGATATGTATTTTTAGATACAGTCCTTTAAAAAAAATTTCACCCTGTATATCTCACTCTGCTGTGATAGTGTGTAACCACAAAGGAGCATTCATAATATCGGTCAGGAATCCCTGCATCTGAAGTAGAATCTTCCCTTCAGCTCAAAAGAATTATGTGACAGTGCTGAGACTTACAGAGCGTATTTATTTCTGCAAGCCAAAAGGAAATACTCTAGTGGGGGGAACATTAGACTATAAGGGCAATAATTGGACATTTCCAAGATGGCTATCCACCTTTAGGCGAATTTTTATGACTTCTGGGGACAGGCTATGATGTGGGGCCCAGGTAAGCTGGGAGAGAGTGGGTTACGGTTTTTTAAAGTATTTATCTTACATGGTAAACTGCAGGGACAGTGGGTTAAGATTTTTTTTTAAATTTATTTTTATGTAGGAGTTCTGCTATTTATTCAGCCACTGATTAGCTGATTGAATTGTGCATGAACTCCACCTTACTTCTTTTTCCCATTTTTTATAATTTTATTTGTTGAATCACCGTGAGAGCAGTTTCAAAGCTTTCGGGTCTAAGTCTCGGTCATACAATGAAACACCCGTACCTTCACCAGTGCCCATTCTCCACCACCAAAAACCCCAATATACCTCCATCCCACACCCTCCCCCTACCTGTGGGGCAGATGATTTCCACATTACTCTCTCTCTACTTTGATCACATTCAGTATTTCGACACCAGACGAGTGGGTTAAGATTTTAAAAGTACTTATCTGGTTCTCCCTCCAAGCCCCACTCAGTGTGTGTTGGGGGGGAAGGAGTGTTGATTTTTTTTTTTAAGAGCACACTTTTGTTCCTGCATCGACTACACAATTTGGAAGCTGTGACATACCCTAAAAGGACTTTTGTACCTACTTGATAAATGTCAAGAGTTACTAAGAATTGGTAGTATTTTACTTAAGAAAACCAACACTTTCAGTAGATTCTGATTTAGTTGTTCAGGTTGAGGGTAGGTTTATATAATACCTGTATTATAGGTAATGTTAGTTTCAGGCTCTAATCCATTGCTACTCGTTGCTAAAATTTTAATGCAGCTTTTTGTTTGTTTTTGGCTTTTGGGTCACACAAGGCCATACTCTCAGGGTCTACTCTGAGGTCAGCGTTTGGGTTAACTCCTGGCAGCTCTCAGGGGATTGGGTGGAAATCAAATCTGGACCTACTGCACACAAAGCATATATTCCACTTGTTAAATACTTATGCATCTGGCTCCAATGCACATTTTTTTTTCCATTTTGGGTCACACCTAGCGATGCACAGGGGTTACTCCTGGTTCATGCACTCAAATTCTCCTGGCTGTGCTCGGGGACCATATGGGATGTTGGGAATCGAACCTGGGTCGGTCCGTATGCAAGGCAAATGCCCTACCTGCTGTGCTATCACTCCAGCCCCATGCACATGTATTTTTTAAAAAGTATTAGTCATTTAGAGCCAGAGAGAAAGTACAGCAGGTAAGGCACTTGTCTTGCGTGCAGTTGTACTGGGTTTGATCCCTAGCACTCCCAAGTCCCACTAAAAGTAATCCCTGAGTATAGACCCAGGAGTAAACCTTGTACACAGCTGGGTATGGCCCCAAAACCAAAAAAAAAAAAAAGTTTTGTTAGAGTTAATCAGATTTATTTGTGTATCTATTCTTTTTATTTTTGGGGGGGTGGTGGGGGTGCAAAATCAATTGTTACTCCTGGCTCTGCATTTAGTACTTACTCCTAGCAATGCTTGGGGAACCGAATGGGATGCCAGGAATTGGACCTCAGTTGGTTGTGTGCAAGGCAAGCACCCTACCCGCTGTACTGTCTTTCTGGCCCCTATTTGTGTACCTATTCTTGAACTTCACAGCAAGGGCCACCTGTTGCTGTGATCAGAGATTTAGTTTTGGGTGTGACCAAATTCATATGCATATTTAAATACATGTAGGAAAGGGTGTTCTCCCCCACGCCCCCTTCTCAAAAGAGAAACTAAATGAAAATGAAAAAGGAGTCAAAACAGTGAAGGCAGAAAGTATTGTTAGGTAATTAAAACCAAACTCTTCCCTCCCTCCCTCCCACCTTCCTTTCCTCCTCACTCCCTTCATTCCCACCTTTCTCTCTGCCTCCCTTCTATGCTTGGGGAGTCGTGTGGTGATGAGGGTTGCACCCTGGGCTCACCAATCTCCAACCCTTAGAGCCTCTCCCTGATCCTTCACTTTCCTTTTTACTTAGATAGGCTCGCTCTTTAGTTTTGCCTCTTAAGATTTCGCGTTGGATTGTTTCAAAATTAATTACTCAAACTCACAATTAAGTGTCAGCAGTAATACATACATATATTTTGGCGTGGTGGTGGCAGGTGCCACATCCGGTAATGCTTAGGGGTTATTACTGATTCAGCACTCAGGAATTACTCCTGGTGGTGATCAGGCCAGGTGTGTGTGTAGGGGTGAGCACCATGTGAGCTGTCGGTATCAAGCCCTGGTTGGTTGTGTGTAAGGCAGATGTCTTACCCACTACACTATCTCTCCAGCTTCTAATGCATGCATATATTAAAGAAAATTCTTTTCATGCGTTTTTATTTTAAAAAATAATGAGTCCAGGGAGATAGAATAGGGGTTCAAGCAGATACCTCAGTGTGCGGCTGATCCAGTTCTATCCCCCAGGCCACATGATTCCTCAAGTATTGCCACGTGTTTTCTTGGAGCCCTTGAGCACTACCAGGGTGTACAAGTAGTTCTTGGCACCACAGGATCTGAGCGCCACTGTATCCTCAGGCTTACATAGTAGATTACTGTCCCGGCTGACCAGAGATCTCTGGGAGTGGCCACTGGGTCACCTGAGTTCTGCTTGGGAGGTGCCTCACAAAAAGAAGAAAAAGTGATGTTGTAATTAGAAATTAAATTTAGTCAAAGACACTCTCTAAGACACTCTTTTCACATAAATTGACTTGCTGTTATGCACTTTGAAAATGAATTCAGACTTTATCAGAGTTTAACTTTTGAGGCCCATGTCACTTTTTTGTAGTTCTAGAGATTGGAATTCATGATTGGTAGTCATAATAGTCTTGGGGGAGTCTTTCTGCTGACCCACATACGTTGTTTATAGCAGATACAAAGGACCTCAATGTTAAATTGCTTATAGTCACCAGAATGTTTATTGAGGTGTTGTTTTTAGTAGAACTGGGAGAAAGAACGAAAGAATGGTGATTAAAAAGAGTAAAACAAAAATACAGATTTTTATTAAAATGCTGAAATATGAGAATTGATGCACTATTACCATATTAATTTTGTAATCATTAAAGAAATTATAAAGTATTAACTAAACACTATCCTCCCGTTGTTCATCGATTTGCTCAAGCGGGCCCAGTAACATCTCCATTTTGAGACTTGTTGTTACTGTGTTTTTGTTGGCAAAAAATAATTTGTCAGTTTATAAGTCACATGAGCTTTACATAGTTTTTGTTTTTAGTCCACATCTGATAGTGCTCAGGGATCACTCCTGGAGTTCTTTGGAGGACATTATGGGGTGCTGGGAATTGAACCCAGGTCTTCCATGTGCAGGGCAAGCACCCTACCTGCTGTACTGTGTCTCTAGCTCCTCCTTAGTTTTTGTTTGTTTGGTTTTTGGAACCACAGCTTGTGATGCTCTGGGCCTCTTCTGGCTCTCTAGTTCGGCATCACTCCTTACAATGATTGGGGACCATATGCAGTGCTGGGATTGAACCTGGGTCTGCTACATGCAAGGCAAGTGCCTTACCCCCATACTGTGTCTCCAGATCTCAGTAAAGTTGTTGAATTTACCTGTAAATGTACCACTGCAGCCCTAAAAATTAAAAGTTATTTGAGTGACTTTTATTCTTTTTAACATTCCCTTAATAGTTGATATATTTGGAAATTTAATAATTTCAGAGGCAGATTGGAGAACAAAGTACATTTAATTGATGAACTTATTTTCATCAATGATCATACTGCACATTCTCCTCCTGCCTCACAGTATGCTTGCGGGAGCTCAGAAATACTTTCCGGTCTAAGTGTTAGTATGTGCTCTTCAGTAGACAACCATTGAATCTCATTAGCTTGAAAATGAGTATACTAAAATGATACCGTCACTATAAACTTCCCTAACTATGTTAATTCATAATTTTAGTACTCTTTAGCATTTAAAACTTATTAGTGGACTAATTTGTAGCTTAGATTCTCCAAAATTGAGTGGAAAATATGTGAAAATTTTTAATGATGTTCCTTTTAGTTCCAGAGAATTACAGAACACAGTGTAATACTTTATTTAAAAAATAAGGAAGGGGCCGGAGTGATAGTACAGTGGGTAGGGCGTTTGCCTTGCACGTGGCCAACCCAGGTTCAATCCCTGGCATCCCATATGGTCCCCCAAGCACCTCCGGGAATAATTCCTGAGTGCAAAGCCAGGAGTAACCCCTGAGCATCGCTGGGTGTGATCCAAAAAGGAAAATAAAAACACAAAAAAATCCAAAAAAATAAGGAAGGTGGTGAGTTACTTGAAATGTGTTTATAAATATTTTTCTATATAATGCTCATAGATCAAACCCTAGGACTCATGTAAAGGAAGTGTTTTTTGTTGTTGGTTTTGGCAGTGCTCAGAGTCTACTCCTGGCTCTGTGCTTAAGTGCCACGTGGTGCTGGGGATTGATCCTGGCTTCACAACATGTTGAGCAGTCTTTCCGGCCCACAGGTTCTGTCATGATTCTAGACCCAGATATTTCTCAAAAACATTACATAAGTCTCTGTGGCCATCACCACTGTAAGGCTTTACTGATTTGGCTGCTATTCATTATTCACTACCTTTAGGAGATGATGTTTTAAATGTTATTGTTTTAACAATTAAAAAGAAACTTTTTAAATAAAAGACCTTGTTTTTGTTTTGTATTTTTGGGCCTCCCAGTCCTCAACCTGCATGTGCTCGAGAGATCAGGTTGTGGGGATAGAGC